GCGTTAATCGATTTCTCACGACGTGTTACCCCTATATCCGATAGAAAATTGACGAGTTTCGATGAAAAATTTCTGCTTAAAAGTTGGTGTGTGTGTGCTCTTCTCATTGCTGCTCTGTGCCCTTGCGCATTCGCGCTCACAAATGATATATCGACTGAATCCTACAAGACAGTTCAAACACAGAATGGAGCTATCACCGGCCACCGCGCACCGAATGCTAAAGATGTCTGGGAGTATTTAGGGATTCCCTATGCCCAGCCCCCATTAGGGAACCTACGATTTGCTGCACCCAAGAAATATAGTTTAAAAGGTTCTTACATGGCTGCAGATTATGTAAGTACCGGCGCAATATGAGATTCAACTGCAATCCAATGCTTTTTATGGAATTTTGTGAATAATTTGCTGCACAGGGATTGTAAGCAGTGATCATTGCAAAAAGAAGCCAACCCCTTTCCAACCATTCATAGTGACTGCCCGCAACAAGCTGCGACGCAGCCCAAGTTTCCGGGTTTCACTACACAGGCCGTTCGAATACTGAACTACTTCACCAGTGCTGCCGGTACACAGCGGAGTGAGGATTGCTTAAAACTGAACATTTGGGCGAAACCATCGATCAAGTCTGTGCACTCGGATAAACCGGTTTTGATCCTATTTCATGGAGGACGTGGGTTTTCAGTCTTTACAAAAACATGCAATCGTTTCCCGCTGACCTTGAGCAGGTTTTACTGGAGGTGGGTCAAACACGCCCTTTGCCAACGGTCAGCATCTTGCGAATGCAGAGGATATAGTTGTAGTCTCGGTCAACTATCATTTAAACGTCTTCGGTTTCCCTGGTGCACCAGGAGCCGATACCAATCTTGGGTTACAGGATCAGCGCCTTGCAGTCGAATGGCTTCAAGAGAACATCAGAGCATTTGGAGGAAACCCAAATCACATGGTCATTGCTGGACAATCGTCAGGCGGTGTTTCAGTGAATTGGTGGTCATATGCGTACGAGCAGAATCCCATTGCCCACGGCCTCATGTCCACTTCCGGAACCGTGTTCAGTTTCCCTTTGAAAAATTTCCAAAAGCAGAAAGACAACTGGAATAACCTCACCACTGCCGTCGGTTGCGCTTCCTCAAGCAATACTCTTGCTTGCATGCGTGGGTTACCATGGGAAACCATTTCCTTAGCTGTTGCAAAGATCCCAGTCAGTCCTGGAGGAAGCCTAGTGCGGTCTACTCCACCTTTCTACTTTGTTGTTGATGAGAAACTTGTGTTTAGCGATTACAACGCACTTGCTAAAGCCGGTAGCTTTGCCCGCCTACCCTATTTTCTCGGTCACAACAACAACGAGCAAGGATACTACGTGATCCCGGCATTTGCAGCTGGACGTAACATCACAGAGGCACAGGCTTCTCAATTCTTACTAGAATTTTTTGTCTGTCCTGTATCCTACGAAGCTAAGAATCTTGTCAATAACAGCATTCCAACCTTTGTGTACCGCTACTACGGCGACTGGGAAAATACCCGTCTTTACCCAACGAGCGGTGCTTATCACGGTTCTGAGTTGCATATGATCCTCGGAGGCTCAGAGGAGATTAGTGGACTTCCTGAGACCAAACCTCAGAAAGATACCATCAAGCTCTTCCAGAGAGCAGTAGCTGAATTCACCGCTGACCCTCAGAATGGTCTGATTGACAAGTTGCGCTGGCCACGATTCAATCCAACGGCTGAGACATGGGCTGAAATTTCTGTTGACAATCAACCGCGAATCAGCTTTGCCAAGGCAGAGAAGTATGACAAGACGTGCCCATTCATAATTATGGGAGCATTGTCTATTCAATGAAGATATCTTTCTTTTAGCAGTACATACGTACTTGTTGGCAATGATAAACGTACAACAATGAAGTAAACCTAACCCCATAGAACCCGTCGGAAAAGCGACTACATGTTGATGATCATACTTCAAGCTAAATTCATAACGTCGATTAATAAGAGACAATATTTTTAGACTTCAAAGCTTACTCGCGATTTATTGTAGGAGAAGCTTGCGGAAGATCTTAATCTAAGGGATGTTGCACACCTAATCTTATGTCAGCGATGTATTTTACATGTGAAAAATCCTTAACGTGTTTTACAAGCGAGCGGGCCACCCCACCAACTTTGCGCACCTCTTTACGTGTACAGCTCTACCACAACTAAATAAAACTCATATATATTAAGATAGTAG